GACCACACGGCCAAAGGCTTCAAGCGCTGGGAGTGCAACCGGCCGCACTCGCCCAACGGCCCGCTCAAGTTCTCCGAGAAGTTCCAGCTCTTCACGCCCTTCTCGCTGGGCTTCGAGTTCCGGCCGGGCCGAGAGTATTACTACATCTGTGAGTATGAGAGCGGAGGATTCAGACCGAAGACGATAGGCTGGTTTAAATCAAGCACGCCTGTCATGAACTCATGTTTGCATCTGAGAGAATAGCAGCTTGGCGAAGGAATGTTTGTCTGGAAGTATTGTGTTGCCAGTGGGTTTCTGAGTCATCGGAATTACTGGGTTTTTTTCTTGATATTTGGAGACTCTTTGTTGTTTAGGATCATGATCATGCATCACACTCTGCTGTGGAAAGTGCGCATACAATTTCTGTTGCATTTATGATGTCTGCGGGTCAGTTTGACGGGATAATCGTGGTTAACCTTGCATTACATTGTATTGCTATCATTATGGTGTAATTCTCCAAAAATCCCACTATAAAAAAAAAATCTGGTAAAAAAACAGTAAACCTTTAACAATAATTACAAAAAGAAAGAATATAAAATAATTGTAAAATTATTATAAATAAAGAAATAATACTAAATAAATAATAAATTGATATATATATATATATATATATATATATATTTTTTTTACATTTTATAAACAGTATTGTTAGTATATTTTAACTGCATACAATAGCAACTGTCGCAGATAAGTAAATACTTATGGTTAACCTTTGTATTATGTTCATATTCTGGGTACGATTGTGAGTTCAATGTAATTCTCCAAAAAGCACACATTGAAAAAAAAAACAGTAAACTTTTAACATAAAAAAAAGAACTTATGATTTTTTAAACTGTATTAAAACTATTATTTAAAGTTTTAAAACTGTTTATATATATATGCGCGTGTGTATTTGTATATGTTTTTTATTTTATATTTATTTCAATTTTTTACCTAAGTGAAGGAGAAAGTATGGATAATATGGATTTTAAACAGAAGAAGTGTGAAAAAGCACTTTTTTCTCAGAAGCTCAAACAGCAGGGACACTCGCAACGCCAAGATCATGGGTTCGATGCCCAGCAAAATGAACATGCATGAGCTGATTAAAATGTGCAACATCTACTCAGTGTAAATTTCTTTGCATAAAAGCAACTGTCAAATGCATAAATGTAAATACCAAGAGGGCAGTTAAGAAAAATACATCAAAAGCATGTTTTTATTCTGCCTTTGAAATGGCTTTGGGCTGTGTTATGAGGACTCGAGGTGGAGAGTTTGGTTTGTTCAAGCGCGCGTAATGAGGTTTAAACATGACGTCCTACTGTAGAGTTTCATTATTAGGTGAAATATTCAAATACCTGTTCATTCAGGTGTGTTTTGTTTTTTTAACCTCTTACCTTTCTGATGGAGTTTAGGGCTGCAGGTTGTTTCATTTCAGGCATAATAAAGGTTTATTTCCCTCACTGTATGTCCGTGACAAAGCCGTTTGCACATAATTCTCAACCGCATGAAGACTATAAGAAAATGCAATATTTTCTCTCATTGGGTCGAAGGCTGTAAATTTTGACGTTCACTCTCAAGGACGAAAGCATATAGAATCCAGGGAGGGCCGAAATCAATATGAATCAATATTCTTTGCAAAGAAAATGCAATTTGAGGGTTTCGCCGAAGGACACCTGTCGACAAGGTGAGATGAAAATACAGGCAAACCTCATTAGTTTTCGCTCGTAATGTCGAGCAGGACCTTCGTATCGTTACACGGAGAGCCGTTATTATGTGCTTGACTAGCCGCTGCTGCTGAGGACGGGAAAGTCATCCAGCATATCGCTTTTCTCACGAGTCCCATCATCCTCGCTCTCGGGCCAAAGCCAACATCTGTGAAATACGTTTGCCCTCTCTGACTGATTGTTCTGTCTCATTCAACTCCTGCCAGATAGATCTTGGCAGCTTCTGTCTCTCTGGCGAACATCATAATTAATATACATCACGACAATCATGTTGAACATAATTCCAAACAGAAAGTCAGAGCTGAAGCCCCACTTTTAGCTGCCATATTTTACAATGACTCGTCTCGCACACGCTGAAAGAGTCCTCAGTGTTATTAATATCTGTATTTTTGCACTTAGGGACAGTTAAAGACGTCAGCTTTCTCTGGCAGGAATATTTAAGCAAATGCTCAATTAAAACCTCCTTTCCGGTTCATCCATCAAGCTTCATTTCGACTATAATGAAAACTGTCTCCTTTTTAATAGTGTTTTATATCGTGCTGATGTCCACATCATTGCGCATTTCTTAATTATGTTATGCTCATGTTCACCGAACGTTTAATTGGTCATATCAGCTGACGGTGACCTTGACCTTTAGGGTCAGGGACGAAAACACATACCTAGAAGTTAGATGCCGTAACTACATCATCTCACTGCGAGACGCATCTTTCTCCATTGACAGACATTCAGAAATTATATGTTGTAAGCGAAATAGAAATATTATACTTATTAAATTTGTAAGAAAATATTGTAAATATTTTGCCAGTGTTTGTTTTAATTTTTAAAATTATATTGTTAATTATTTTATACTTGTTTTAATATTATTCTATTATCTTAATAATTAATTAATTAATTAATTATTTTATTTTTAATATTTGTTTTATTTAATTTTTTTTTTAAATTTTTTTTTTTTTAAATCAATCAATTATTATTATTATTATTTTTTGTCCTCGTAAATTTTTTTAAATGACTTTTTAAAATGGGTTTGGGACCAGTAATAATAATTTCTATTTATATTGTGCCATTCTAAAGCGCAATAACTCTATACAGTCCATCAGATTACTACAGAAATAGGGGGTAAATGATTGGCACATGCATGTATTTTTTAGGGAGAGGGAAAAATACAATAGTAAGGAGGCAAAATAAGTTGGTCAAGTCTTTTATTTTATATATATTTTTATTTATGTAAATTCCATTTATTTATTCATTATTTATGCAATTTATTTAGATTGTGCTTCATACAACACAGATTGTTTCAATAGTAATAAACAGGAAAATAACAGTGTTAATGTTGCAAAATTCAATAATTTAATATAAAGCAGTCTCAATATTCAGCTCAATCAAGTTCAGTGTTGATTCAATTTAGTTAAATAACAATGTCAAGTTCATCCGTCATGAAACAGGTTGTTGACTTGGTATTATTCAAATGAAGAGAAATTAATGCTAAATACTGTATATGTCATGCAATACAGAAAGGCATGAAAACTAGTTCAATCTAATTAAGTTATATACCCAGTATTTATGTTTGTTATGTGTCTTTATGTTTTATAGAGTGTTGATCACAGCTCACTAGTTTAGCGACTCTTGAATGTCTGTTTTCATGGATTGATGTTGAGTGAATTTAGAAAACAGAAGATCATTATGGTGTGAGTACCGTCACTTTGGTTATCAGTGACATTTCTCTGAATCAGTGTTTGAAGAGACATGCAGTTGTAAAGGTGCCGCTCAGCAGAAATGTTATCGCTCGCTGTGATTGCGGCTGTTTCACACTGACTGACATTATCGCATGAGACTGTCACGTCTCTCTCTAATAGCATCAGCTGAAAAAAGGTCTGCCGGATTTTTAGTGGTGTTCTTAACTGATTTATACCCTGAAACCTGTGGTTGCCAGGTTGCTGTTATGCAGTTGCTAAGGTGTTGCTATGTGATTACTAGGGTGTTCTGTGTGGTCGCCAGGGTGTTTCTACGGTATGTGATTGCTAGGGTGTTCTGTGTGGTCGCCAGGGTGTTACTATGTGATTGCTAAGGTGTTTTGTGTGGTCGCCAGGGTGCTGCTACTGTATGTGATAGCTAGGGTGTTCCGTGTGGTTGCCAGGTTGTTGTTATGCAGTTGCTAAGGTGTTGCTATGTGATTACTAGGGTGTTCTGTGTGGTCGCCAGGGTGTTTCTATGGTATGTGATTGCTAGGGTGTTCTGTGTGGTCGCCAGGGTGTTTCTACGGTATGTGATTGCTAGGGTGTTCTGTGTGGTCGCCAGGGTGTTACTATGTGATTGCTAAGGTGTTTTGTGTGGTCGCCAGGGTGCTGCTATGCAGTAGCTAGGGTGTTCCGTGTGGTTGCCAGGTTGTTGTTATGCAGTTGCTAAGGTGTTGCTATGTGATTGCTAGGGTGTTCTGTGTGGTCGCCAAGGTGTTACTTCTGTATGTGATTGCTAGGGTGTTCCGTGTGGTTGCCAGGTTGTTGTTATGCAGTAGATAAGGTGTTGCTATGTGATTACTAGGGTGTTCTGTGTGGTCGCCAGGGGGTTACTATGTGATTACTAGGGTGTTCTGTGTGGATGCCAGGCTATTCCTATGCAGTTGCTAGGATGTTATGTTTGGTTGCCAGGCTATTGTTAATGTATGTGGTTGCTAGGATTTTCTGTGTGGTTGCCAGGGTGTTGCTAGGTGATTGCTAGGGTGTTCTGTATGGTTACCAGGGTGTTGCTATGCAGTTGCTTAGGTGTTATGTATGGTTGCCAAGGTGTTGCTACTGTATGTGGTTTCTCGGGTGTTCTATATGGTTGCTATGTGATTGCTAGGGTGTTTTGTGTGGTTTCCAAGGTGTTGCTATGCAGTTGCTAGGGTGTTCTGTATTGCTGTCAGGGTGTTGCTACTGTATGTGGTTGCTAGGGTGTTCTGTATGGTTGTCAGGGTGTTACTATGTGATTGCTAGGGTGTTCTGTGTGGTCGCCAGGGTGTTACTATGTGATTACTAGGGTGTTCTGTGTGGTCGACAAGGTGTTCCTATGCAGTTGCTAGGATGTTATGTTTGGTTGCCAGGCTATTGTTAATGTATGTGGTTGCTAGGATTTTCTGTGTGGTTGCCAGGGTGTTGCTAGGTGATTGCTAGGGTGTTCTGTATGGTTACCAGGGTGTTGCTATGCAGTTGCTTAGGTGTTATGTATGGTTGCCAAGGTGTTGCTACTGTATGTGGTTTCTCGGGTGTTCTATATGGTTGCTATGTGATTGCTAGTGTGTTTTGTGTTGTTTTCAAGGTGTTGCTATGCAGTTGCTTGGGTGTTCTGTATGGTTGCCAAGGTGTTGCTACTGTATGTGATTTCCTGGGGTGTTCTATATGGTTGCTAGTGTGTTCTCATGTGATTGCTA